TTGGAATCGACCCATCCGAATTTAGCTTGCAACAAGGATGCTTATTAAGAGGCATAAGAGTGTATGTGCCAAAACCGCTGAGAACTAGAATAATACAAGAATACATTCGGGACATTTGGTGTATCAAAATGAAGTCACTTGCCAGAGCGTATTGTTGGTGGAAAAATTTAGATAAGGACATTGAAAAAGCGGTTGCTGACTGTTATGAATGCCAGATCGGGCGACCAGATGTAAAGAAAGAACCGGTTCATTGCTGGTTACCTCCGAAGAAAGTTTTCGAAAGGGTGCATGTGGATTACGCTGGTCCCTTTTTGGGCAAATATATTTTTTTGTACTGGTGGATGCTTTTAGTAAATGGCCGGAGGTAAGGATAGTTCGAGACATTACCACGGAGACAACAATCGAAGTATGTAGAAGTATATTTGCGCAATTTGGAATACCAAACATTCTAGTCAGCGACCACGGGACGCAGTTCAAAAGCGCGAAATTTCAAGAGTTTTTAAAACAAAATGGTATCATGCATAAGTTGGGGGCACCGTACCACCCTGCAACGAATGGTCAAGCAGAACGTTTATACAAACTTTCAAGACCAAGTTGAAGGCATGCCTCGTAGGAGGAGTACAGCGAAAAATTGATCAAATTTTATTGGCATATCGACGAGCAATTCACCCGGTCACGAATAATCACCAGCTATGACGATGTTTGGGCGACAAATACAAAGCAGATTGGACCTCCTACTGCCCAACAATGAAGTCCGAGACCCCGAAAGACAAAAAACTACAAGAGAGTTAGCAGTAGGAGACGCTGTAATGGCTCGGGATTATATGGATAAGCTTAAGTGGAAGCCTGGAATAGTAAGAGAGAGAATTGGTGATTTGCATTACAAAGTGAGGCTGAAGATGGTAGGTGTTGGAACAGACACATTGATCATTGAGAAAGATTAATGGCAGAGTAATGCTGGATAACGAAGTTGAGGAAACACATAGTGCTAGTTATGAGCCATCAGATTTGACTTTGGAGAAGAGAGAGAAATACAAGTATGAGTAATGCGGAACGAGAAGCAACAGACGAATGCGTGATGTCAGACAATCGAGATCAGTCCTTCGCAACGCCCCCAAGTTCTCCGGGGTCAGCATTCATCGGATTTGAAGAGCCAGCAGGGAATGGCGAGGCAGTCAACATAAGAACGAATCCTAGGAGGAATATACGCGACCTCATCGACTAAATGATTATGTTATCGATACGGATTGAAAGGTATTAGTGTTCGGAGTTTTTAGCTAATAGTATTTTATTGAATTCATTTTATTATTTTTGTTATAAGAGAGGGAGAGGTGTTGTATACGTTACGTATTCAGTAACTACTAAACTACTATCGATGTAAGCATATGTAATAAACACCATCACTCAGTTGTTATGAGTTACCTGAAGGCAACAGTTGTTTTACTAGCAGACCGGGATATATAACAAACGGTTTTAGGTCTTATTGGACCAAATCCGTTTCAAGACAATTGGAGTCAATGTCATGTTTTCTTCAAATTTCACACATCTCATTATTTCTACTAACACAAGATCCGCTGTGAAGATGGGTTGTATCGGTCCACCCCTTCACTGATAGGATGGCAATATCGGCAGACACTCTGAAAACAAATGTTAAAGAAATTCCGGTTTTTTTTGGAAATTTTGTAAAAAAAAAGCTTCAGAAAGATACGGTATTTGGGATTTTTGCTACTCTCAATTGATGGCAGAAAAGTTTCGGCCCATAAATGCCAACAAATATCCAATAACTGGTAACAAGTTCCATTAAGATATTTAATTCTTATGTAATTTAAAGGATTCTAGGGTGGACATACGTTATATTTCAAATGACACAAAAGTATCGACAAATATTCGGGTGTATGCATTCGGACATATTTAATTCTCCAATGTTGCATGGGATTAAAAGTTATGCCCGTCCGAATCTAACGCAATACATATAATACAGTTATATATAGAACATTTATCATAATGCTATCAGCTTACTTGATGTTTCCACGTCACGTAGGAACAATTGTAGACATCTAGAAACATAAAAATAAATTATTTGTTATAAAATACTGTAAAAACTGTATTGTAAAAACTTACGATTGAATATGATTGCTTGTTTGGCCATTTTGTTGAAAATCTCATTAAATTTTAAAGTTAAGACGAAGCACTAACTACCCGTATACCATACACCACAATGGATGACAAATAATAGGAATACAAAAATATCCAAATTTGGATGAAATTCGACTGAGTCTACTTGAATGAATGTAAATATAGAAAGGGAATTCTAACAAGAATTGGAATTTGGAATATTAAGACCTACAACATAATTTTCCTAGATGGAGACCATAAAAATGATGAAGTTGGTATGCATCTCAAAGAGAAGAAAAATCATCTGAATAAAGAAAATTAGATGCCCCTTGAAGCTTCCAGGGATCAATTATAAGCCAAAGCTGTGCTACTGAAAAAACCTAATGATTGTCATTTTATCAGATACAAATGTTAAAGGAACAGCTTCAACTTAGTTAACAGGATAATTGGAAACATTGTTTCAGTATTATATTGAAACGCAAGGACTTTAGATAAGATGCGGAATTTGAAGCAAATTCCCAAGATCATTACCGTTTTTCACAACCCATTAGTTATAGAAGATATATTATTTATTTCTATTGTCTCCAATTATGTGGTGTAGAAACTACAAGAATGGAAACATTTTCACGAAAACTCTAATTTTTATAACACTTATCGCACACACTTTAAAAAAACGCGACTACAACGATAATTATTTTCAATGACAATTTTAGAAAAATTAACGACAATTTTATTCCACCGCACGTCGCGAAATGGTAGCCTTTAATACCGGATGTACAATACCGTCAATAAAAGTTTCCAGAGCGATTTTTTTCTTTCACACATAAAACAATTACGATTTTCTTTGCCATTTTTTGTTCACACACATCGGAACACAATTCAAAATATTGATTTAAACTCAAACACACATTTCACAAATCAAAATAATGACAATTTAATTAATTTAAGAACTTTTTAATGCAAATAAACTCACAAAAACTAAATCTGCAATTTTTATGCCGCGAATAACGGTAAAGGGGCGCAATGCTATAAGAGTTGCCAGATTGAGTGGTCGTATAGCATAGCCTAAATTAAAATCGTTTCAACGGCGACGTAAAATTAAACAATGCTTAATATCATGGTGCAAAAATACAGGTAGTCACACCGACACAGCTGCTGGAACAATGAACTGTTAAACCAATTTTGAAATTCAAAATTTGAATGAAAAACTATTCAAACTCGTTAAAATTGTTTAAAAATGCATGTCATGGCAACATCCGATTGGTGTCGTATAAGAAAACATATAAAAATCTACTTATTTTTGAAAAAAAAAATATTAAAAAATTTGATATATCAATGTTTCCAAGCGTTAATGCATCGACCTATATTCTTTTACAATGGCTTAATACTATTGCTAAAGACTTTGAGACATGTGGTATGTTCCGGAACTTCAACAATGTAAAACTTTTACTACGATTCCGATTTTCCTTTATGATATCGAAAACATTGGCAAAAATAGTAGATTCTTCAGGTTTTTGTACAAAGCAATTTTATTATTTTAGCATGCTTTGAGACTTAAATAAAAACATACAGGGTGAGATGAAAAACACTGCAACAACTTCAGACTGCTGTCATTTCTAAGCAACTCGTCCGACAGCTGTTAAAATTATTTCAGTGACAGCTCATTATATTGTTTACAAGCGTATAAAAGCATTTTGTGAGTTTTGCAGAAAAATGTTATTCGTGATGGAATTCAAGCGTGATTCTTAAAAAAACCACAAGTGGCAATGTTCCACTCGGAAATATTGAAAAATGAGCTCGGGGTAAAGCCATTGAAATTTCAAAAAGTGCAAGAACTCACACCGCAACAGAAAGAAAATAGACTCAAAGAGCTAAAGAGTTGCTTCGCTTGGCCGAAAGTGTTGAACTGCCGTATTTGGTTTTCTCCGATGAGAAAACATTCGTTGTCCAGCAGTTTGTAAAAAACAAAATGATCGTTTTTACTTGCCAAAGAGGTCAGCTGAAAATGTGCATCTTCGGTTGGCCAGTGGCCACCAGAACTCAAGCGCCGGCCATGGTGAATGTGTGGGCCGCCATAACAGTCGATGGTCGCTCTCCGCTCGTATTAATCCACCGTGTCATCGGCATAAATGGCGAATATTATCGCTAAAATGTTCTGGAGGGAGTATTTGTTTGGCCGCTGACCTTGGACATTCCAACAGGATAATTTGTGCCAAAGGTGACCAATTCGAACAAATATAAACTTATTCTAAAAATTTGACATTTTTGCTTTCATTCATAAAATTAAAAAAAAAAAATGTAAAAATTACGGCGTTTGACTTTGTTGCAGTTTTTTATCTCACCCTGTTCCAGAACCTGCAACAATCTTTTAGTTTTGGATTTTTTTTTTTTTTTTTTTTTTGAAAAACGGTTATCTTAGTAAAAAATTATATATTTTTGCAGTTCTGGGACAGGCCAATATATAGGAAGTATATAGGAAGTATATTTGAACCGATTTTTTCCATATTCGTTATATTTGCTTAATTATAAATTTGGTCGAATGCGTCAAAAACCCATCCTTTTTGGGGTGGAATTCACCATTTGGTGCTCAAAAAACGTGAAATCGTGGGAAGATATACATATATGATAACTATATTCAAAACTGAATCAATCTCGATAAAATTGGCAAAAAGTTTCTGAACTGTATTTTTCATCTTGTCTGTGATATCAATTTTAAAGTGTATACTACGGCTGTGGAGGACTTTAATATCAATTGGAGAGACATAATTTCTTCCCAATCCGATCCGACACAGAATGTGATTCTATGGAGAACAACGAAAATAAAATACGGAATTAATTTTTTTTAGGTATTTATGTATATATTTATTATTAATCTATGAACTATAATTCTGTGTTCTGAACCTTATAGGTTTTGTTTTCGTAACACTCGGCAATAAAAAATTGAAATAGAATGTCGTTCGGAGATTGAAACAATTTTATCAATATAAAATTATATTTTTCGGGGCGAATTTTACAAATAATTATAGATTTTATAGGCTTATTAGGCAAAGAAAATAAATGGAAATATTAAATACTATTATCTTCGGTTGGTAGGCTTTTAACATCATTTATCGGAATTGCAAATTTGATATCCGCAAACCAATCGAGTCCTTGCCAATCTCACTCACTTCACACACGGCACACAGCTTGCCCTTGTATTGTGGATCATAGTAGGCACCGCAGAAGGGACAGCTTGTATCGGGTTTACCACGGTACAATGGCTTATAGCTAATGCCACAAATATTAAATGGATTAAATTCTTCGTATTGCAGTTGATGTTCATCGACGGGATTAACTTCACAGGCTTGTAGAATTTTGCGCACCTGTTGTGCCACCTCAGGACGTGGACCCAATTCCAATAGACGGCGTGCAAATGATGCTGCTGTTTTGTAGTTCTTCAATTTGAAGAACATGTTAAGAGCTGTACGTAGGGTAAGAATTTGATGTACAGGCTGCAATTTGCAGTGAGTAAAGTATGCAGCCATTTCACACAGACGTTTTTGTTCTTCCAATGTAGACTTGGGCAAGCCTTTGCGGGCAGTTTCCATCTTCAGGCCGAGAATGTATTCCGTGCAGATTTTCAACAGTTGTTGGGCTTCAGCTATATCTTGTTTGGTATCGACTACCAATAGGGGAATGCTTATTAAAATTGAATGGAATTTCTCCACAGCTTCAGAGAATTTGCCACCCGTTGTCAATTGATAGCCAGCCTGTAATCGTTGCACCAAATCGTTTAATTTAATACCCAATGCGGGACGTTGTTGTTTCACATTGTTTTCATTGGTATTGCGTAGTGGGTAAGCACACAGTGATGCCAAATTAGGCATGCTAGTAAAGCTCGTTGAGGCACAGGCATAATTCTGCATAAACAATGCCTTAAATGGTTGGAAATTGACAATACCCAATTGTTCGTTTAACAAACGGAAAGCAGATTCAAAAGAGCCGGACTTAATGTGATCCAGAACCAAGGGTGAATTATTGGCCCAGTGCTGCGGTGCAGATAGACCCCTATTGGGAGCAGCATAGTAGCCGCTATCCAATGCAGATGCCTTGATTTTCGATGCAAGCTCTTCGGGAACCACCAAATCATCATCGCCAACATCCCAGCCGGCTCCTTCATCAGCAACGCCCTCCAGACCCTCATCGCCAATGGCATCATGCATTTCATCATCGCCATCTTCATCAAGACCCAAATCAGCATCAGCTCCCCAGCCATCGCCGGCACCCACATCAAGGGCAGCATCAGCATTTACGTTCAAGCTTGTCTAGCTGTAGCACTTGTATTCGCACGTGTCAACATGGCGCCCTCAAAGAAGCCCTTCGAAACACTTAACAATGGCCAATTGGTTTCCACTTGTTGAATTGGTACAGGTGGTCTTAGCAGAGTAGCATTTGGATTCACTTCAGGCAAAGGATTTCCCTCCTGGGCAATGGCTTCAGCCAAATTGTTGGCTTGTTCATCAAAACCGTGGGTGGCTGCAGTCAAATACGCCAAGGACATTTGGCCACAATTCTTCAGGATGTTCACACGTTCCTTGACATCACCCAACACCAAAGCTCCCTGGTATTGGGCCGAAACATCTTTGCGAATTTCAGCAATTTTATTCATTTTCTTAAGCTTCTCCAAGTTGCCGGTAATCAAATAAAGGAAACTAAGCTTGTCGAAATTCTTGGTACGTTGATAGCACATTTCCACAATTTGATGGTTACCTTGCAAGAGGGCGGCTTGACCCAGACGCTCCCAACAATCCTTATCATCCAGAGCCTTGGCAGCCTCCAAAGCAATTTCAATATTGCCACATTCCAAGGCCAAGCCAAATCTTGTCTTTTCATCCTTGACAAAATGCAATGCAACTTCTGGATAACCCTTCTGCTGCAAATAGGCAATAATACTTTGACCTACCAAACGGGCATTGCGTACCATATGCAAAACTTCGTCGTATTTACGATTGATAAGAGCCAATTTGAATTTGTATTCGGTAGGATCTATATGAAGTACGCGAGTCCGGCATTCACGATCCAAACAGAAGACCTGGTTACCCTTGACACGTGTCAAGTAAATGGGCAAATCTAATGTTCTAATAATACCGTGATCTCCATTTGTAATGGCATACTTGATATGGTTACTGGTGGTATAAATGAAGACACCTGAATCATCCCAGGCTCCCGATTTAACACGGCAATTTTCTTGTATGGTACAGAGGTACTGTAAACGTCTATCGCAAATGGTGACTGAATGCTTGCACAACAAAGCCACCAAAGACATGTCCGGAGACCAGACTACATAACGACACTTGGGTAGCTTAATGCAACCCACAGACACGAGACGTTGCACTTCGTACAAGGTAACATATTCAGGATCACGAATAAGCAGCATACCAGTACCGGCATAGAATATCTCTTCGCAGAATGTGGGGATCTTTTTGGTAACTTCATTCTTGAAGTTCTTGATGACAAGCTGCTGATTGCGATCGAGTACAGCAAATCTGTTACGGGCTACCCAATCGCTGTTATGCCCGATGAACGTTTGCTATCATTTTCACTTTGAGATTCTGCATCCTTGGGGATTTGACACAGATCATATGTGCTGTTCTCCAAATTGTTGGTACGTGTACACAAAAGAACTGCATTCAATGCTGGATTGTAGGACATGCTATGAACCGGTGATTTGCCACCACCTCGCAATTGCATAACCACTGTGTCCTTGGTAGTGGTAAAATCAAGTTTGCGCAAGAAACGATCCTTCACGTAGTACAAGATATTGCCATGTACAGCATAAGCGGGGCGCTCACGTTCCAATTTGAAAACAACCATGCCTGGAATTGAAAGATGGAGTAAATAGAAATGTTATATACTAGAAATGTTCTTCATACCTCCATCGTGGCCGGCGGCAAAAAGATTGAGTGTGGGATGGGCAGTAAGAATCCAGAAACGTTCTCCATCTCTTCTAAATGTATACAAACACTGGCGTTTGGTCATATCCCAAACACGAATGCTGCGATCTTCACCATTCGAAATGATGAGGTCTTGACGTGGATGGAACAGGACACATGACACATTGTTGTAATGGCCACGGCATGTGTCCACTTCCCAAGCTTTGTATTCATTCATGCGCCACAACTTCACCAAGCGATCATCGGCACCGGATACTATAAGTGGCAATGTGGGATGGAAACTAGCCCAATTTACACCACGATCATGACCCTCCAGAACATGTTTAACCACAGCATCGGCTTGGCCAAAAAGATCTGTTGCTCCTGGATGACCCTTTAGGTGTTCATCCAATCCTCCCGGTCCTGGAGCCACATTCTTCTTCCTCAAACCCGAAATATCCCAGACACGCACGGTCTGATCCAAAGAAGCCGAAACAATTTGATCTTCTGTTGGGTGGAACTGGGCACACATCACATAATGATTGTGTCCGGTCAATACACAAATACAATTACGCGATTGCCAATTCCAAATGCGAATAGTTTGATCATCGGATGCACTCAAAATCCAGGGATATTCATGATGGAATGCCACTGTTCGTACATAATCCAAATGAGCCAATAGCGTAAAAATGCAACGTCGCTGCTTGTAATTCCATACTTTAATCTTGTAATCATCGCCACCGGAAACGAACAGTGGCATTTGTTGGTGAAAAGCCACACTACGCACTGGGCCATCGTGCTCATCGAACTTTTCCAACAAGGTGTGCATACGATAATCCCACAACTGGATTACACCACTATGCAAACTTGCCAAGATCCATGGCCTTTTGGGATGGAAAGACAAGCCTTTGACTCGTGCCGATTTCGATTCGAAGTTTGTCAACATTTTTGTGTGTGTTTGTGGAAATCTTTCTTTTGTTCTTAATGTAGATATGCGGTTGAGAGTTAATAAAGTCCACAATTGAAATTAAAACATTTATTTTCTTATATTTTTTAGTCAATTCTCTTTTCACATTAAATTAATCGGCCACACAAATTCTTTACACGTCATGTACTTTTTGATAATGTTAGCGTTGCCACATTGCAAGTTATGTGATATTGACATAAGCAGAGGTATTAGGTAGTCGCATCAGCACTGGTAGCGGTGACATGATATGTCAACAAAAAGTTAAAAAATAAAAATTGTAAGTAAAATTAAAAATTATAAATGAAATATTATGTGTAAATGTAAAAGTCGCATTCTAAAACGGTCAAAATTATGTCAATTTATTAAAACTATTTAATATCTGCAAGTTAGATGTAGTAATATCAACTTTTATAAGTCGCTTACAAGTTGAAGTGCTTCATTATATGCATTGGACACTGCTCTAGACACTGTTATGTTGTTGTAATCTTATTTGTTGTGGAAATGGCAAAGAAAAAAGCGATACTTTTTGGGACCCTATACTTGGAAAGTGTTGTATTCACTCCAAAAAAAAAATATCGTCCTAATTAGGATAACAACTTCTTTCCTGGTACATTCTTACCAAAATGCTTTTGTTTGCTTGAAAACAATATAATGAACTGTCACTGGAATAATTTTAACAGCTGTCGGACGAGTGGCATAGAAATGACAGCAGTCTGAAGTTGGTTGCAGTTTTTTATCTCACCCTGTATTTAATTCTGCTGTCCCTCTTTCTCTTTTTTTCTTATAGCTTCTTACAAGGAAGAATATAATTCCATGCTTTTGAGATCTGTCTATGCACGAATCATTTATCCAAGGTTTTAAGTATTTTTGGCCGTCCTATCCGATTTCTAAAAAGTTTGTCCAATGGAAATAACAATGGTTGTAACTTCTTCTGACTGTTATTTTTAATGGAGTTTCAGAAGTTATGCCATGAATTCAATAGAAATTCCCACAGGTAGTGTGGAATTTATCTAACTTATGATACAAAAGCCCAAGATTTCGAAACCTGTGTTATCATGTTCCATAAAAATACTTAATGTAGTTGATTACATTCACAATTATGTTATGAGTCACCACAACAAAATGCAAGAGATATGAATTCAATAACATATTCAAGAGTTTTATCGCTTTATCGAAACCCGCATCGCAGTGGCCGAAAAATGGCTTGTGAGCTGAACATATCGCAATATTCCATTCGCAAATATTGAAAAATGAGCGGGGTAAAACCATTGAAATTCCAAAAAATGCAAGAGCTTATACCGCTTTCAATAAAAATTAAAAAAAAATGTAAAAATTATGGCTTTTGACTTCGTTGCATTTTTTTTTCTCACCCTGTATAATAAGAAAGATCAGCTGCTAATTTCCAAGAAAACTGTAGATTTTTTTGATTTTAAAAATTTATATTTATTAATTACAAAATTTTTAAACTAATAAAGTGATGAAAGAATAGAAAGTAAAGAATTTTTTGTTGAGAGATTTGTTATCGTTAGATTGCGCAAACAAAACAAAAACACCATAAATATTAAATATAAATAAGTAAAGGAAATACTAAAGAAAAAAATGTTACATCAATATAAAAAATACATTTTCAATATATATGTTTTATAAAAAAAAGAAAAAGACAAAATATAATGCATATTCTTTAATATCCTTTAATTAACATATACACTTATTTTTAGCGTTGCCTCCTTCGTTTGCCGGCAACTTATATATAGCTAAGTCACATTCGTTTGATATTCTCCTTTCACATATTTCATTTCTGGGCGATAAAGAAGAAAGTCTTGACATCTTAGATGTTTCCTTTTCATTCAATAAGTATTCAAGTAGAGTTTAAAACGAAGCTAAATACATTGTTGTTTATTTAATCATCTTTGGAATCGCCCTTGCCGCCAGCACCACCACTAATGGTGATTTTCTTCTGCAATTTGCTATATTCCTCGGTGAGACGATCATATTCCTTATTCAAACTTTCGGCTTGAGATTTCAGGGCTTCCTTGTCCTTCTTTTCACGATTCAATTCGGCAGTAAGCTCATGGATGCGATCTTTCAATTTTGTAATCTAATATAAAAAGACATATTAGTATGTAAAAAAAGGCTTAGTTCGCAGCTCGTTATTCTATCTATATAAACATAGATTATTCATTAAAAATCGTTATAAACAATACTGTGGGTAAACTTAATAAATACAAAAACAACACAACTATTACATATACACTTAATATATGTATTTTTGTTGATTTCGTTATGAGTCGTTTTGGATTAATAAGGATAGATAGGATAGATCGTTTGTGTTGGGTCTTTTTGCTAAAATTCAAATTGCATAGTATTGTTTTGTATGCCCTCAAGTGTTGGGAGGATACCGTGCATTTCTTCAAGAGAAATCAACACAGTTATTGATTGAAATATATTTTGTTCGTTTTGCTTATGAAATGGGATGTTGTGCTAGCTTTGCTGTGAGTCCTTGTACACGTCTCCTTAAGCTGGATAGCTGTTAAAAATAATATAGAAATGTAAATATATAAAACAAAAACATAAAACAAGAGGATAGTGTTTTCTTTTTTTTTTGGCAAACAAAATTGTTTGTTAAAAAACAAAAACGAACAAGAAACAACAATCAGAAATGCATGCAAAAATCTACCAACAATTGTTGTGGGTATACCAAAAGTAGACAGCATTTTTGGTAAAAGCGCATTATTTTCTATACAGAGATATGTACAAGAACTCATTTTATATTATATCAAGCGGCTGCGGCAAATTGTCATATATAAATATTGAATAAAAATGAGCAAATAATAATAATTAATATAATAATAATTAATAGGTTAAAGTAAAACAACAATTTGGAATTACTTCGCAAAAATATGGGTCTGTTTTTCTATGTCGAAATAAAATTAAGGCAAAAGAAACCCCCTAAATGTATGTTATTCATAGTTTTGATATTTATTCAATTAAAATGACATTCCAAAATTTCGCATTTATTTCCATTCGACATACAGAAACTGTTCTAGAATATCGATTTTTTTTTTGAGAACTTGTGGGCCAATTAGAATTTCTATTATTGATTTATCATAAAAGAAAAGGACTTTTGTATAAATTTATGGGGAAAATAAAACATTTGAAATACTTGTCTTACAAACTAAGCCAAACAGGAAAAAAATAAAAGTCGTCCGGAGCCGTAAACAAGTAGGACAAAACATTGGGTGAATCTAGTAGGTTCTCGTAATAAATACATATATGTGAGGAGCTTTATCGGAACCGATTTCACAATGGTAGCTATACTAAGTTGTATCCTATTAAGAACATGAAAACGGGTGAAAATAGGAAAATATCAATTGAGAAAGGTTTGTATGTAATGTGACATCACGAAAGTAATTGCGAAAGGAAAACACCATTCCAAATGTTTTTTATACCCTCCACCATAGTATGAAGGGTATATTAAGTTTGTCATTCCGTTTGTAACACCTTGAAATATACATTTTACAACCCACAAAGTATATATATTCTTAGCATGAAATTCTATGTCGATTTTGCCGTGTCCGTCCGTCTGTGGAAATCACTCTAGCTTCCGAACGAATTGAAGTAGATTGATAAAATTTTATTCAAATGTATATATATCCGCAGGACTTTTGGTATTGAAAATGGGCCATGTAGGTCCACATTTATCCCCCATATAACGGTACCTTCCGATATCCGGTATTTTTACGATTTTAGCGATAGCCTCAAGATTTTGCAATTATTTCAAAACACATCTTTGTTATGCCTAAATGTAGTTTATGGTAAATATATTATATAATACACAACTTAAGAATAAAGATGCCCCTTACTGAATTTTTTATGTAGTAAAATAGTTTAATTTGTTTTAATGGCTGGGGAGCCAACTTTTCTTTTTTTTTTTAATTGGAGTAAAAGTAGAAATAGTTTTAAATAAATTAAGCTCAGGTTATATTATTTAATGCAAGTTGATACACATTATTGGCCTTGGAGGCTTTGTATCACAAATGAATTGAAATAAATAAATATTCATCGGAATTGATACTACAGCCTAAGAAAGAAAATTGTCCATGCAGGTCCACGTCTTCGTATAGAACCTAGTATAACAGCTATATTCGGTATTTTTAAGATTTTAACAGAATTTTTAACGGATTTTATTATTTTTGAGAATTGCCAAATTCGTTCCAAATGGTAGAGGGTATTCTTGTCAATTTTTTTTAATAATTAGATTTTGATATTTTTTCATATGCGACCCCAATCGTGGGTTGTTCTGATATGCATTTTCAACTATTTTTTCAAATTTCATTTTTTTTTTTTTTTTCATTCAGAATTTTCAATTTCAAAATTGGTTTGACATTTCATTTTCCCAGCAGCAGTGTCAATGCGGCTATCTTTATTCTTCAACCTTGGCCCTGATATGACGGATAATATCGGTTTTTCACTTATTTCTTTAGAAGTGATAGATTTCTTTTCTAGCAAATCTGCTAAGTTTCGATTCGAGTTGAATATAAACAAAAATATTTTTAATACCTATAGCTATTAGCAATTCCCCACACTATTTTTGTTGTTGCATATCCCCATTTAAAATATTATATGGCTACGCATCTGGCAAAGGGTCTACTTAGCTAATAGTAACCAAAAAATTGCTGTAAGCTATATTGGCCCAGACAAAAATTAATATCAACATATTTTTGTGCAATCTTCCAACACACACAACACACTCACTCATTCACTCTCGCAGCCAAAATATGTACGCATTTTAAATATACACTTTTGCAAAAACACGTCATACAAAAATAGAATTTTCAAAAAACAAAACGAAATACTAATTAATGTGAGTGAAGGAGAATGGAACTCTTCACTTCCAAAAAAAAACAATACAAATACATTTTGTTGTTATTGTTTGATTATTACAACGTACCTCTCCCAATGTAGCATCCTCGGTTGCTTCTTTAGCTTTTTCGGTATTCTTCTCGGCCATCAATGACTTAGCAGCTGCCGAAGCAGAGGCGGCCTGTTTCATTGAAGCTTCACTTTGAGCCAAGAGATTGGCCTGAGTCGAAATCAGGGTGACCAAACGACGAATGACCAGGACCAAGAAAATTGCAAATCCAGATATGTAGAAATTACGCTGAGCACGGAACAAACGCATACTATGTTGCATTTCAACATTCAAATGTACATCGCTGCTGTGGTCGTGGTGTGAATATTTACGCATTTCCCGAATGGCATCCAGCAGGAAGAGCACCAAGACTCCCATTATTAGGAAGAAATATAAGTGAGCCTGCCGGGCCAGCATGGCCAAAAATTTGGATTTGAAGAAACGGTTCCATTTATACGGACTGGCAACAGGCAAGACTAATAGCAGTACCACGGCTATTTCGGCATAAAGGAAGCCAGCAATCAAAGTCCAGACAAGACTCATGGTGGTGTGTCACCTTTCGAAGTTATTCGATTCGTCTAAGTCTTTTAGTTGTGATCTTAAAATAGATTCCCTTTCCTTGGATTTCGCTTGACTGTGTGTCTCCAAGTATAAGAAAGCTGTTGAAAAACGTTTAAGAAAATGCCTTTATATTTACTATATGTTGACCGTTAATAGCTCCGAATAGGTAAAGGAATATCCAAATCGTTACTTTTAACTTTCTCAAAATTAACTTTTTTAAATGTTTCTTACGTTTTCCCTTATTTATATATTCGTCGTTTCGTTGCTTGCTGAGTAACCAACTGATGAAATATTTTGAGACACGTATTTTAAGTGCCTCACCTTTGTACCATTTCAACCGAATGAGAGTGAAAGAGAAAACTGCATATTAGACCGGTAACATCTCTTTTATTTTTGTTTATTTCGTTTCATCTGTCAAAAGTACACTGTGTTGCCATATTGCTTGATGTCACTAATATTTCTAGACGTTTACAAATCAGCAAGGCATATCTACTAGGTAGCACAGTAAACAAATATGATGTAAAATAAAGTTTAAATATACATTTTTAGTGCCAATTTCCAAAACAAAAATACATCTTTTCGGTATTTCTGGAAGTACACCTACAAGAGTTACATTAGAATCAACATTGCATTAATGCATTGTTTGAACATAATGGAAGACAAATAGAACTCCTCTTCCTAAGATATAGAACATATGAACTGCATTTGCGTGTCGAGGAACGCCGAAAATCAGAGATTATATATTTAGGAATGAAAATTTTATTTGAAAAATGACAAGGAAGGAGTTATTTCGAAAGGATCTCTATTGTTTTGCCTATTAGGCTAACTGACGGATTTTAAACGGACATTTATGGGGGACTTGTCTCAAACAATTTTCTGTTTTAATTTGCAGTGTTTTCCCATATTTCCTGTGCTTAAGCCGCTTCTCAGGGTAGCCATATAATTCTCAAAACATCCTCATCCTTATTATCCAAAACCACAATTCTGTATTCATTTCGCACTTACCTCATCAATTTGTTTATCTTCACCCGCTTCTTTGGCCTTCTCAACCGATTTATCTTCCATTAATGATCGGGCAGCTTGCGTTGCAGACTTTGCCTGTTTCAGCGAAGCTTCACTTTGTGCCAACAGAAAAGCTTGTTCCGAAATTAAAGTGACCAAGCGTTTTATGACAAAGACCAAAAATATAGCGAAACCCGATATGTAGAAATTACGTTGGGCACGGAATAAACGCATACTATGTTGCATTTCAACATCCAAATGTTCCGAGTCCGATTTGCTTTCGCTAGAGAATTTTTGCATTTCACGCAATGCCTCCAACAGGCACAAAATTAATAGACCAATCAGCATGGCAAAATATATTTGTGCCTGCTTGGCAAGCATTGCCAGGAATTGAGATTTGAAGAAACGATTCCATGTTGTGGCATTGATCACTGGAAGTGTTAGTAGTAGAACCACGGCCAATTCAACGAATAGAAATATATCGATTAAAGTCCAAATTAAACCCATGACCGCTCTGTTTGTGTCTCGTTGCGTTGAAGAAATTTGTTAAACTAAAACGAATTGTACTCCACACCATATCACCTTTGCTCTTCTATGGCAGTTTATAGTAGAAATGCAAACGTACATATGTATGTAGGTACGTGTTTGTGTCTAAATGGTTTACACATTATCTTTTGGAAGCTTGTTTGTTGTTTCATTCAAAATCGATGATTAGCTAGTATGATCAGTTAGCTGTTACTTTGGCTCATACTTTCTTTTCACTTTTTTCTCTCCAAACTGAAAAGATTCTTCTAAACAACCAAACAAATGGAGAGTATTAGTTGTTTTTATTTTACTTTCAACTCTCTTCTCTAAAATTTACTAAAAACCTTTGATAACCGTTATCTTGATACGGTTGAGTCACTTTCGTTTGGAATTACCTTTATGTGACAGTTACACCGTGAGAAAGTTGTTTTAAAGAGAGCATATTGTTTTGACATGAGTGCATCGTGACGGCACAAAGAAAAAACAAGAAATGAGTATTAATTAACAAGTTCAAAAGAGTCTTCTCCGATTGTGTAATATCAAACAACCGGGCATTAAGTCTCTTTTAGCTACAGATATAAGCAAGTTTTTAGTGAAAAAATAAATATCATCTACACCATATTCCTTCGAAATTTGAATTATTTCAACTACAATTCGAAATGCTTGTATTAGGAGAGTGGAGATAAGACCTTTTCTACTTACCTTTACCTACATAATTTCATTGAATAAAACAGGTTTAAAAGAAAATTTGTATAACATTAAAAATTTAATAGATATCTGTACATTTTTCATAAAAAATTTCCTGCCAAAAGCAGGCCCTTGTTTTAATATAAAATGCATGAACTATCTTACATTTATCACAAACCACTCGTTCTCTTTTTTCAGCACCAACTCCGTTTCTTTACAACAACTGATCGATGAAACATTTATCTCGGCGCGGTTCTATTTTGGTTTCTTCATGAAATTTGTGCCATTTTCATTGCTGCTATTTAATAAATCATCTGCTTTGCGTTTCATATTCTCATGTTCTTCTTCGGTGAGTGTTGCAAACACAAAATTTTTGGGTTTAATACTTTTTATTGAAACAGTACCAGCTGCATCATCACCAGTGGGATTGGCCATGGCGGCACTTCCCTTAGTAAGCCCTGCTAATTTATTCAGAGTTTCTTTGTCACGTACAAGAAAAGAGCCACGCACAGTTTTCTTATTCATAGCTGCTAAGCCTTTCGAGATTAGGAACGGTGTAGCCGTTGTAGAATCATTACTTTTACAGAAGTCTTTTTTGCAGTAATAACTTGTATCTTTTTAGTTGCTAGGGAGACGTTAACCATTGTGGTAGAGCTTGTGGCATTTAGTGTTGCATTTGTTATGGTGGCAGATAAATCTTGGGAATCTGGTTTAAGGCCATTCTCCTTAAGAAACTGTTCCCTCTCGTAGCGTATTTTACGCCATTGATGCTCATTCAATTCATCTCCGCTATCACCACCATTGTTAGCTTCGCCATTTTCATCTCTCGGTCCATCGTCCAGACTAAATCCACTTTCAGCATTCTTCCATTTAAACTGTCTCTGACGACCCACGCCATCTTTTTCTTCATCTTCAAAGAGCATATCTTGAATTTTTCTCACTTCGCGCAAGTCATCATCCAACATTTTTCGTCTAAAAATAAATAGCAAAATTTTTGAATATAAACTCAGCAATCATAACATTATATAATACGTACGCATGTATTTGTTCCAGTTCAGAACGTAATTTCTCTCTGTCGAATTCGTCTTCATCACCCAATTCTATGTCGTATTTATCCAGATTCTTTTCATCTTCATCTGCACTACCCCACTCAGATTCGGAAAGCTCTGCTTCTTTTTCCAAGAAATTTGCTGCCTTCTTGAGACAATCTTTCTTTGTCATTTGCACAACAATTTCATTTTCTTCCGAGTCATAATCCACAAATGTAGCAAGTTCATCATCTGCGGGTAATTCTTCTTGTTCCTCGTCTGCATCATCTTCTTCGTCACTGTTACCGCCTTGTGCTATTTCCTCCTCTTCTTCTTCATCGTCTGAGAATCCGAGCTTGGCTGCTTTCTTCTTTAACTTCTTGGTTAACTTTTTGGTTCTCGGTGCTTTTGTTGTTGTCTCATCGTCTTCGTCGCTTGATAAAATTTTATTGCACTTTAATTGCTGGACCTCCCCTTTGACTTCGGTCTGCTGAGTTGCGCCCACTGCCTCCTCAAATGTACCAGAACACAATTCCATTAATTCATCATCATCCAGTGGTTTGCCTTGATTTTGTGTTAGAGGTATTTGTGACATCAAAGCATTGGGCGATGGAGGTTTTTGGGTAATATCAAATGTTCCGGAACACAAACCCATTAACTCACTTTCTTCATCTAGTTTTGTGGATGCTTGTGTATCGAATATGTTTGGTTGGGTTTGTGGTGGCTGTGTTTTAAGAAAATCTCTATCATCGTTGTCAACGTCTTCTTCATCGGAATCCTCAAATGTTTTTATAATACGTGTACGTTTGATTTTATTTTCAGGATTTGTTTCGGTTAGTTCGTCATCGTTGTCATCGTCACTATCATCATCTTCGTCTTCCGCATCATCATCAGCTTCTTCGTCTGAAATATCCACAGGATTTTCTTCATCATCCATCTGGTTTGAGAAAAAAAATTAATATAAAATGCTTGATCAATAAAGAGTTTACATACTTCGATTTCATCTTTCACTTTTAATTTTGTATCTTCTTCGTCATCATTTTCATTTTCTTCTTTGTCTTCATGTTCATTTTCTTCTTCGTCGTCTTGTTCATCTCCTTCTTCCAGGGGATTTTCTTCATCGTCGATCTATAAACATTCGATTGTTATTAAAAAGTCAACACATGAGATTCTATTCAAGTATTACCTCTAATTCACTAGCCTTTTTGTGGGGTTTTGATTCTGGCTCGTATTCTTCTTGATCCATTTCATCGTCTTCTTCTAAACACTTACTGTGCTCTACTTCATCTTCCTGTTTCTTATGCAATTCTTCCAGTCTTTTCTTTTTTATTATTTCTTTGAGATTCTTTTTCAATTCAAAGTAGGCTGCACGCGGTTTTGGTTCACTTGTAGTTGGATCTTTCTCATCAGTAAGACTAACATTAACTTTTGTTATTTCAAGTTTTCCATTATCCGTTGATAGGATATTGCAAACTTCATTGGTTTTAGATTTTCGTCCTTTGGCATTACACATTAAACGTTTCATAAGATTTTCCACTCCTGTTGGTTTTCGTTCTACCAAATCTCCAGTCTCTAAATCAATTAGCTTATTTGGATCGCCGCTTAGTGAAGGGCTATCTTTAAGATTTTTGTGGCCAAAATCTGTTTTATATTTAAAGAATTTCTAGGTGTCTGTTGTGGTTTTGGTGGAGGCTTCTTTACAGGACTAATTTTCACTGTGTTCATATCTAGTTTCGGCAATTCAATAACTTCTGTTATAAGAACTTTTGAAGTAGATGGCATATCTTTGTTTGTATCCATTGCTGCAACTTCTTGTTCTTGTTGTTCTTCTCCCGCTAAAATCTCTGCCATTTCCTCTTCGGTCAATTGAAGAGGCTCAGACACGTTTTCAGTTGATTGTGCTGTAAATTCAGGGTCAGTCTTGTCGAGATCTTTTTCAGTTGGCTTATCCAAAATCCCGTCATTATCTTTGAATTCTTCTTTTTCGTCATCTTCTGATTCGGATTTAAAGAATTCTGTAGCTTCCTTAGCTCTTTCCTCCATTAATTTACTGAAATATAAGAAGTAGGAGTGTTAATTTTTTCCTTATCTGATTCATATATATAGTTCATCAAAGAAGGTTGTCGTTTATACTGACGCATATTCCTCTAATTCTTCTTGTGACATCTTTAAATTTTTAGATCGCACTGCTTCCACAATTGGACTACTATTTCGAGCTTCTGGTTTAATGATTGTCCTCCGATTTAGAAAATCTTGAAGTGTATGTTTCTTGGGTTTGTGGTAGGGTATGCTACAAAGAAAACAAACTAAATAATTTGGAACTGCACACAAAATACCACGGAACTCACCTTATACTGGCTTCTCGATGCAGCCTTTGTTGTTCACTTTGAATGGCTTGCATTTCATCCATAGCCTTCTTGGCAGAAGCCTGAAAAAAGTTTATGAAATTTCAGAATCGTAAACTTCGATAATTCATATGTTTTTACCCGAACTGGTTTCTTATTTTTATCCTTTGTTTTTATTGACAAATCCTCATCGTTATTATTTTCTTCGTAGTTGTAAGCTCTGACCGATGCATCTAAATCCATTTCGCTATCATTGCCACTGTTGGCACAATTTTCTTCTTCAGAACCGCTGTCCACCAGTTGGGATATTTTCTTTTTCGACTTTTTAAAACCATTATCATCTTCCTGTTCCGACGACGTTGTCTTTTTTGATTTTTTCTTCAATTTATTCACTCTAGATTGTTTCTGTTCTTTATTTTTCTTTTTATGTTGGATTCCATCATCTTCAGCGCCATCAGAATCTGGTTCTCCTGCTCTTGATTCATTTTCTGAATCAGAATCCACCAACATTAGCCGATTTTGTTTTGCGACATCATGTTCGGTGCCCTCATTTTCACTGTCAGAATCTATAAGTGCAGATATCTTTTTCTTCGACAAAGTAGTTGGTTCGTTCACATTGCTAAATTCTTGCTCATCAATTTTTTCCTTATTTTCCATTGGTTGCTCATCGTCACTGTCCACTATACGTTTGGTTCTGTTCGAGTTATTCGGACTGATTTTCTTCAGAGGACTGTTCTTTTTTACACCTGACTCGCCTTCATCTTCTGACTCGGAGAATAACAAACTCTGTGCTCCCAATATATCTTCTTCCATTGAGGTTTCTTTGACATTATCTTCCTCATCCACTTTTAATGCTTCCATGCTGGTATTATGTTCATCCATTGTTGTTTCTTATATAATTGTTTAACTAATTTAGTTATTTAATAAAATATCTTTGAATTCGTTTGTAAAGTTGTAAAAATAAATTGACGAACATAAATATTTGTTTCTAGACCACACACACACTTTTGTAATTGGGCGCGAAATAACAATACACAAACCAGGGATACGTAACTCGACTTTCAATTAATCGATTAATCGTCGTTTGATATTTGAGAGACTTATACCATGTTCTCATTGAAATTTGAATCGAGTTGTTGATAAATCCTATTTTCAAGTTCAACTAGAGTAATACTCTTAAAAATTGTTTTTGTCGATACAACCATGGTAGAAGAATATAGGTAGACGCGTCGACACAGCTGCTGGGACAATGAACTGTCAAACCAATTTTGGAATTGAAAATGTTGAATGAAAAACTATTTAAATTTGTAAAAATTGTTGAAAAAACGCGAATTATAATAGCCGTAGTACAAAAAAAACATATAAAAATCTACTTATATTTGATAAAACATTTAAGTTTTTTTGACATATCAATGCTCCTAAGCGTTGATGTATCTACCTGTATTCTTTTGCCATGGATACAACGTTATCAATAGTAAAAGGTAAAGCAACAAATAACGATCGAATTTTTGTTTAAATATCGTTGTGTCAGAAAAAATGTCACCTTATCAAAAGCTGAAAAATAAATGCCGGGATGAACTCATGATCAGCAAATATTTGGTCTGTTCCAAAACTGCAGGAATGTATAAGTTTTTAGAACGATAACCGACTTTCTCTTTATGAAATCAAAAACAAATGACAAAATCCTAACAATATCTGAACTCTGTATTAATACGTAATTTAATATGTCGTGTGTTTCTACTACTAGTATATGACAAAGAGGACCCGACATTGAAGATGTTCATGTAAATGTATAATCATTCTTTTTTGTCATTATATCATTCTTTTGCATGTGCTGAACTTTTTGAAAGTAATAGAGTCAAATTTATTCCCAACAGATGTGAATTGTCAATTAATTAATTTAATAATATTAAAAATGCCAGAAATTGAGATTTTTTGGATTAAAATTTAATCCTAAATTAAAGGGATATGTTCTTATTACTACCATGATCTTACCTTTGGTGGAAGAATACAACTAGATGCATCAACGCTTGGGAACATTGATATGGTAAAAAAAATTTAAAAGTTTTTTTTTTTTAATTAGTCTTTTCAAATAAGCATTCCCATCTTCGCATTTTCTGTAATTTAGCTTGTCAAATTTGACTGCATGGAAAACAAGCTCCCATCTCTGATTTTGTATGTACAATGGGTTTATAAATATATACTTTTGACAATGAGATGTTGTCAAATGAATAATTTTGAAAAAAAATGTAAATATATGATTGCATGACTTTACCTTCTTAATTCTACCAGGCGTCAATCGAAGGTTGTTATAATATGTATTTTTCAACAATGTTTCCAGATCCAATATTTTTTCATCCGAAAATTTTAATTTAAAAATTGGTTTGAGAGTTCGTTGCCCCGCAGCTGTGTCGATGCGTCTACCTATATTCTTCTACCATGATCTTACCTTATTCTTATACCATGTTCCTAGCCAAAATTAACTGCCGCCGTCGAAGAAATAGGAAGCGCGGCATCAGACTTGTTTACATTTTGAGTAGCCGGCGGTGAATAAATCGTTTCGCTTCGTTATCTGCTGCAACAGCCCTGAAAGTTTTTAGTGCGTAAATACCGTAAATATGGATTCAGCTCCACTTAATTTGGTAATAACAGACACTTCAAATAATAGTAGTAAATATTATAATAGTTACATTATAGGCTCACTTCCATGAAAGGCGAGCAGAAAAGTTACTGAAACGGCATCAATACGATGAGGCTTACAAAGCCATAGAAAATTCCCTGTTTTATGTTGCAGATGCCCACAAAACAGTGCGAACTCCAAAGGCATTGGAAGTGCTCGATATTATAAAGTGGGATTATGAAAGAAAATTGCAACAGATATGTATGCGTAAACAACAATATGAAAGATTGAAACAAAAGGAAATTCTACCTCCCGTTTGCCAGAGTGAAATCATCAAACCAGAAATTATAAATGTTCCCTCTATTGCTGCCAGGTCCATTGATAAAACAATTAAGGAATTCAATGAAAAATATGGCAGTGCTTCCTTAATGTTAAATATGCAAGGGCTTTCTTTGGAGCCAGGCAATGAAAACAAAGATCCCAACAGCGAGTGTTCCAAGGTAAATGTGAAAAGTGATGAAAGCAAATCGGAATCAAAAGATGATATTGCCAAAAGGCGTATGAGTATTTTGGACGAACATATGCTACAAACCGATGAAGAGTTACCATCATTGGTGCCTTTGGAATTACCTTCCTTTGATTATTCTGTGTTTATATCATCGGGTTTGGTAGAAAATTTCCAAAAATAATTTAAACCTGTGATTTAGTTTAATTTTTCCAGTATGATCTCTATGGTTACCGCAAAGTGTATATAGTATAATAAAAAAAACAAGTGTTTGTAAAGCCAAGTCGATTTATTTATTTTTTTAAGAGACCTTGTAAGAGTTCTTCCATATCGGTTTCGGTCTCAACATCTTTCAACAAAAGCAGCACTTGGGCTTCCATTTCACAAAGAATTTCTGGTTTTTTATAGGTTATTATCAATGTGTTGTATTGATGATGAACCATTATATTTTCCTGTGACGGTGATATACCACAACGATCCAAGTCTGGTACGGGAATCACTTTGTAATATTTTTTATTGGTGGTTCTTACAACAATGGCACGTTTCTCTGCATCGGCTTGAACATTGTATACCTCCAGGGGATATGGTAGATTTCTAATTCTCCATTCAACATTTTTCTTTGTAATACGTTTGCTAAGTATAGGTTCATTGTTACAAACTTTTACCATAAAACTGCCATCATCATTACGAATGTCATTCTTTTCTCCCGCACTACCCAATTGTCGAGTATCCTCTCCTAATTCGACTTCCCATTCTGGTTCTCCCATAAGCTGCTTACATTTGCGCCAGGCCCTTTTTTGTACAACTCCGGTATCCATGCTATATTCTTCAGCCATTTGATTTCCGTCGGGAAACTTGTAGAAAACTTTACGAGTTTTGCCGCTTAGCATTGAATTTTTCTCGGCACTTTTAAGGTAAGTTAACCAATTTTCATATGACATTTTTAAATAAAATGAACTCGTAGGCCTGTGCTACTGCAAGAAATTGGAAGTCTAAAACTGAGTTTGTTTACTTCGGTTACTATGGCATAGGGACGCCAAAGTCGACTTTCGACTAATAATATTAATTGAATTGCAAGTAGTTCGATCGCGATAAAATAATGCTATCGATGTACGTCGAATAGGGTGACCAATATAAAGTAATGCATCTTTGAATAGTAATTTGAGTTTCATTACATGATTCGAGTTTCACACATGTAATTCGATACACTGTTCCAGAACCTGGTACATTGTTGCAGGTTCTGGAACATTTGTTTCCATGTTCTTTTTCGTATTGCAATTTAAATGATTCGAATTACAAAATATGTTCTTTCCGGATATACTATATGGATGTAATAAACACTCCGAAACATACCCAGTGTAAAAGTTTCAGAACGATATAAGTCCAGATACCAAACTTAATTTATGCCCATCTCAAAAAGCTTTACTAACGAAAATAAGCACATATTACAAGCATAATGCAACCTGTACCATACTTCTGCTGCCCTCACCTAGAAAATATACAATTTCATTAAAAGTACTTCATAGACTTTATTTACTGTAAATTGAAGTGCTTTCAACTACTATTCTTCTTTCTGATTTGTTTTCTATTCATAAGTCTTCCCTTGTTATATGGGTTCTTTTGGAATTTCTTCTTTTTCCTTAGATGAGCTGGTAGACTTTTCAACGTATTGTTTCTATCTTTTCTAGCTTTCTTCTGATTGGCCTTCTTATCCAGCTGCTGTTTCATTTTGAAAGCCTTAGTCTTCTTAAGTTTCTTCATGGTCTTGACCTTTTTGAAGTGGTCTAATTCTTTTTTTGTTTTTAGTTCTAATTTTTCTTTTTCTGTTTTTGACTTTTTACTTTTGACCTTTTCCTCGTCACTGTCATAATCTTCATTTTCCGAATCTGCGGCACGTTTCCTTTTTCTGGCGTTGACATCGAAATCCATTCCTGGTATACAGTTGGGACTATTGTTTTCATCATCGTCGTCATCTGTTTTAGCCTCTTTTTCGCTTTCTTCGGATTCCTCTCCACGATTTACTCCCAACATATTGCGTTGAGCGGCTAAATCACCCGTGGATAACTCCACTATTTTAACCTTCACATCATCATCTTCGTACTCATCCTCATTGCGTTTGTCGGCCTCCGTAAGTTCCTTCAATGGTTCAAATGATTTTTTCATATGTTTAATACCATCTTTAATTTCCAATCGAATTCGACGACGTTCTTCCTTTAAATTGCGCTCCAATTCCTCTTGCGCACGTTTACGTCTTTCATTTTTACGCTTCCGAAATCCGGTTAGAAACTCCCTTTAATATCAAAATAATTATTTAAAAATTATTAATCTTTTTACGTGTAAATAAATTTTAGCTGCTTTACTTTCTTTTCTGTGGATCGAAAACAATTTCCAATTTCTTTTTAGGATTCTTTTTTCTTGCCATTGTGTTTATTTATATTTAGCACATGTACTAGGTATGTATAATTCGAATATCGGCTAATCGATTGTACTGGGGATGTATAATTCGAATATCAAATAATCGATGAAAATGTAAAACTTTAAAAATATCGATTGTTTTTTTATTTTATTTGAATTATACAATAGATGAGGTCTTTGATAGATGTCACGATAGGAATAAATTTTTACTTTTCCAGTAAGATTAACAAAGTAACTGTAAGGGATTAATGGTCTTCGAAAGACGTTTTATTTTAAGCCAGTCTATAGGTATCAATAGCCCAGAATAAACAGCTGAAAAGGGTTACCAAAATCTATACATTATCATCTATGTGAATTCTATACTAAAACTTGCGCTGACTGATTTTTTTTAAGAATTTTACATAATTCGACAGAAAATCTTCGTATTTATCCTAGCACCAATAACAATAGATATTTAATTTTTCCATAATCAAGTCTTTGTGGTCAAGTCAATATATTATGTTCTGGAAATCACTCTAGCTTCCGAACGAAATTAAGTAGATCGATAAAATTTTACTGAAACGTATATTATTCCTCTGTTCCAGAACTGCAAGAACTTAAAAGTTTTTACTACGATAACAGATTTTCCCTTTATGATATCGAAGAATATTGGAAAACTTGTAGATTATTGCGGGTACAGAGCATATGTCTGAAGGACTTTTGTATTGAAAATGGGTCATGTAGGTCCACGTCTTCGTATAGCCCCCATATAACGGTACCTCCCGATATTCGGTACATTGTTGATTTTAGCGACATTATTCACCGGAATTGTTTCAAATTTGGTATTTAAAGTTCGTAGTGAATAGTACAGCATATGACAGGAGATTGTTGATGATTTTAGCTACATTATTCACCGATTTTTTTTTTTTGAATTTTTTCATTTGAATATGTTAATGGCTTATGTCAAAAGTTGCCTATGCAGGTCTACGTCGTAGTTTAGACTCTAATATGACGGCTATATTTGGTATTTTTAAGATGTTAACAGAATTTTTAACGGATTTTATTTTTTTGAAAATTGCCAAATTCGTTCCAAATGATGGAGGGTATTCAAAGTTCAACTTACAGCATTTTTACTTCTTACATCTACCATTAAAACACATTTTTATAGACCAAGGAGGAGAGAAGACGTTAATACAAAAAAAAACGCACACAGACATATTTTTAGTTAGAAACATTTTTATGCAAACATTTTTTGTAGTTCTTTCTTCACAAAGAGAAGGCTAAGATGTGTGACCTTATATCACATAGTCAAAATGTCAGGAACAAACTTTTCTATCACTCCAAAAATCAAATATTAGGTAATCAAAATATTTTGAATCTAGGTAACAAGTATATATAAATTATAGCTGTTTCTGGAAAAAGCTGTAATTTTCTTTCCATTTTTTATTAAAAACGGTTTGAATATTTTTCCTCTTAACAATTATTTCACAATAGTATGAAGGGGGAGGGGTAATTATTGATATTATCATTAAATTGATTGATTTCAGTCAATTTATTAAACAAAATGAACGGTGAAGGGAAACATCAAACGTGACTAAGTTTTCGTTTGTTATCGTTTCAAGTACAAGAAATAAACATCACAAATGTATAGGACAAAAGTTAATATTAGTCTTTATAAAAATTCTTTGTGGCCTTTGCGTGTATTGATGCATATTTGTAATGCACTGCCATGGCAATTCGATGAACTTAATAGTTTTGATCACAATGGATTATCTTGTAATATAATATGCTGGAGATTACTTCATCAATTGTTGGTTATATTACTTGTGGGATGGCTGTCTATGCTGAGAATCAATCATTTTGAAGATGTTTATTATGAAAAAACGGATATATTTTCAATTGGCATGGATGCTATAAGATATGGCATATTAACGGCTATTCACCTAATTGTTTATTGGGAAAATACATGGAAGGCACTAACTTATGTAGAGCTATTCAAAAATTTCGAAACAATACTGCAAAAATTTCGGCTCTATCTAAAATTTGAAGTTAATACAACTTACTTGTTTCTATACGTCGCACTATTGTATAGCATGTTGACTTTGAATATTCTTATTACCTTCTTTGTGATATATTTGCGCTATTTAAAATCTCTAAATGCAATTCGTTTGTTATTGGAACAATATAGTGAAACTATTTTAAAATTTAAGTTGCTGGAGTATGCATTGTTTCTGGTTATTATTGTGACAATTCAAAGGCACTTGAATGCATTTGCCGCGCATTATTTAAGAACCACGGTGTTGAGATTGAGGACTATGCCTGAAGGCAAAGAACAAACGGACATTTTAAACATCATTGGAATTCTACAAGACATACACAATCTTCTGGTTACCAATGTAAATCACATAGAAAATTACTTTAACTGGAGCCTGCCCATGTTGATTTTGAGAATGTTTACCGAAATTGTTCTAACGTCATATTGGATGTATTACATAACAGATTATGAACTATCTCGTTTATATCATCTATGTGAGTTCGTTGTAATTATTTAACACAATTAATGTAAATTAAATTTTTTAATTACAGATGGCTACTCCTCGATAATATTACAACTTATGTTCTTATTTGTAATATGTGCCTTATGCTCACAAAGTGAAAAATTGGTAAGTTAGCAATCATGTTGTATTGTGACTTGTGATAAAACTTTTTAATTCATTTTTAGGACACACAACTTGCAAACATTTTGCACATGTCAAGGCATCAACGCCATAATCCCCTTTTAAATGGATTACTCAATGAAATGTCCTTGCAGTTATATCATCAACAAATAAAATTTACTGCAGGTGGTTTTGTTGATGTAAATTATAAAGTATTTGGAAAGGTTTGTATTATATGATATAGAAAGTTAATTTTGTAAATTAATTTAATCAATTACTTGATTGTACTTTCAGTTCATTTTTGCAACCGTATGCTATGTTGTGATCCTTATACAATTCCATATGTTAATCTAGGAATCATCCCTTAAACGATTTCCAAGTCAACGTTATATCATTTTAATGAAATATACCATTAAATTTTGAACATACTATTGTATTACAATTGTTGTATCAAAAATTGCATAAATGAACCAAGGAGGTTTAAGCGAGAAAGCGTCGGCAGCTTCGTTTTTTTGTGGAAATGACCAGCTCTGTATATCAACAGCCTTATACTTATATTATACACTAACAATTGTCCGCTACTTCGTCAGTGAAAAGTGTACCTTAAAATTAGAAAATATAAAAAGTGTACCTTAAAATTATAGTATCAAATCGACTTTTAAATATACAACAGTTGGTTTTGTTTATTTTTCATTTCTTAACAAAAATTTTATGCTGGGGAAAACCCGCGAAACAAGAGTGGAATTTTGGGGTTATTCCACAAGATTGAATCTAAAACAGTAGGATAATACAGTTTTAACCCAATATTGTACAATGTGTTGCCCATTAACATCGAAAGTATGCATATATAATTATTTTCAAATTATTGTATTTTTTATTCAAAACAATACAAAGTTTTTATATATTATTCATGTTTTTCCTTTTTCGAAAGGAATAACAGAAAAATGTTTACTTATAGCACCAAAAAGTCTTTAAACTCTTTAATTTTGAAGTTTACAGAAGAGGATATTAGTAAAAATTTTGCTCAATGGTCCAAAGTTGTCTTAAAGTTTCAATATGTTAATCCTAGTTTCAATATGTTATCCCTTCACACAAATACTAAATTTAGTCACATTTAGTATACATATCCAAAACAATCTACATCTCTCCACCCCAGACACCTCCATCCAGACACCATTCAAAATAAGTAACATTTAGTACTTTTCGAATAATTATATTATGTATTTGCAAAACCAACACAAGATCTCAACACTCGATACCAACATAGACCTCAATATCAAACTTCGAGATTTCAGTTCTATCCCTTCACCCAATCACCCAATACCAAATTTCGTTCCTTTTGAACAGTGACCTTAATAAACATTTTAGGATTTAAAGCACCATCTGTTCACCCAATAGGAAATTTTGTCATGTACTTGTAGTACACATTTTCAATGCCACCTCTTTATCAAAAACCTACCAACAGCAGGGACCCCAACACAAACTTTCAAAATTCCAGCTACATCCGGTCGCTCTAAGCCAAACGGTTTCATATTTAGTACCAGTTCGCGCACATAGTATACACGTCCACGCACAAAGACTAACCCTCATCAAAATTTCAACATTTTAGCTTCAGCCGTCAGTCAGTTATTTGACTACTCTCTTATCAATAACGAAGTACCGACTTAAGACCCCAAAGCTCTTTGTTTTATTATATTTAGAGTCAACGTAGCCATGCCGCTCATCTATCTATCTGATGCGCGACGACTCCTGAAGAGAGTGACATGTTTGGACTAAATTGACCAAACATCGCACATCGTAATATTTTTTCATCAAATCTAGTACATTGCAAAAAGAGAAGTATCACATAGAAAGCGAAGGGAGCAATAAATGTAGTCCAAACTTGACATATTGTAATTGATCTATAACAACAAATTCAGGCGAAAAAATTGACAATATCGGTCCGTTTTTTCTTGTACTACCCTACCCTTGTACTTCTATTTTGAATGATTATAACTCTAATAAAATGGGAAATCCGAGTCTGATATTAGATCTACATATGTGGAAAATCATAGCTCTCATAAAATGCAAGCAAAGCCTGAAAAAATAATTCAAGCACATTCCCGACTATATGATATCCTACACCACTATGTGTATTTAGTAGAGCTCCCGTAACAAAAAAGAAGTTTATATTGGGAATTTATGTGAAGTAGATGATACTAACTATGAACCTTATTTGAATGCGCATCATGGCTTTAAAGTAGTCTCAATTTAGGAACTGTATCCAATTCTGAACCGATTTTAAACAAATTTGATGAAGGCTTTTGTACCTCTAGTAAAAATATCCTTCTTGTGCATGTCTATTACGCATGTGAGGGACTGTAACACTGGATTTAACACAAATTGGATGAAACATTTATGGGAGCTTTAGCTATATGTGAACCGATTTTCACCAAAATTTGAAGTACTTGCTTCTGGACTAAATTAGGTTGGAATTGCCAAAATTCAATCCATTTGGACTGATATAAGCCATTTGGTGCACAATAAACCTGAAATCGGATATAGATGTATACGGGAGCCTTATCCAAATCTAACCCGATCTTGACAAAATTATGAGGCACTTATTTCTGAGCTGTATCTGATATCTGGTACCAAAGATCATTGTTGTGGAGTGGATATTGGGAGGGGCCTAAAACCCCAAATCGGGTGAAACATATATATGGGAGCTATAGCTAAATCTGAATCGATTTTCGCCAAATTCGGTGCACAATATCTAAAATTTTGACCGATTATCTCCAATTTCATTAGGGTTCGTCCTTGGGCCAAATAAATTATTTATGCAAAATGTCATCTCGATCGGACAATAAATGCGGCCCGTACTTTGATTACAAAAATACATGGAATGGCGGACGGTTGCATAAATCGATGTAGGGTATAAAAATATGTATACTATTAATAATTTTCTAGGTACGTATAGTAAACAAATTGCTAAGATGACATTATCTTGCAATGAATAATGTGTCGAACATTTATTTAGTACCAGAGAAAATATTCATTCATTGCTAAACTTCTTACATTTTATTTCCATACCGAGTAGGCATACTGAAGGAAAAACCAAGCACTATGTACCGGACAAAAGTTGGAAATTTCCTTTATAAAAAGACATTGTGGCCATTGCGTATATTAATGTACATTTGTGCAGCTCTACCATATGAGATCAATGAATTTCATACCCCATCGTGCAGAATTATATGTTGGAGATTTATGCATCAAGTTATAGTAACAGTATTTGTCGGATGGCTTTCTGTGCTGCGTTTCAATCGTTTTCAAGATGTACTGTACAAAAAGTCTGATATATTCTCTGTTGGCATGGACTCTATGGGCTATGGCCTTCTATTACTCATTCATTTAATTGTCTACTGTGAAAATACCTGGAAATCACTTTATTACATTGAAATATTTAATAATTTTGAAATGATTTTGCAAAAATTCCAATTAAATTTAAAATTCAAATTAAACATAAGTCGTTTACACTTATACACGGTGGTGTTGTACAGTATGCTGGCGTTGAACATTACAATTACGTTTTTTGTAATCTATTTGCGGTACATAAAATCCTTGAACGCAATACGTCTATTGTTGGCCCAGTATAGTGAGTTTATTCTGAAACTAAAACTCACCGAATATGCTCTGTTTCTTGTCATTATAATTGTCATTCAATTGCATTTGAACGTTTTCACCAAGCATTATGTGAGACATACAATACCACGACTGAAGTGTATGCCAGAAGGACGAGAACAAGATGAAATATTACATGTTATTGGGATACTGCAGGATATTCATTATTTACTTATTTCCAATGTAAATAACTTGGAACACTATTTTGCCTGGAGTCTGCCCATGTTGATATTGAAAATGTTTTCGGAAATCGTATTGACCTCATATTGGATATATTTTAGTGTGGATTTTAAAATAAATCTTTATTTTCAATTGTGTAAGTTGGCGGAATTATTTTTTTTATTGGAAAACAAATGAAGTGTGTCTTCAATTTTTCAGATGGCTACTCCGTCATAGTCTTGCATATAATAATTGTATTTGTTATAAGCTGTTTATGCTCAAAATGCGAAAAGTTGGTAAGTTTTTGCTACACATAATAAATTATTGTTATAGCGAGCTTTGTACAAATATTATATATATGTGCATATGTTTTTTAGGATGCGGTGTTTTCAAATATTTTCCACATGACAAAACACGAAAGATACAATCCGTTCTTAAATGCACTACTGAAGGAAATGTCTTTGCAAATATTCCATCAAAAAATTCGTTTTACCGCAGGTGGTTTTATTGATGTGAACTATAAACTATTTGGAAAGGTATGTATAAAATGTTAATTTCTTAATCTTTTATGGACGGTGATTTTTAGCGATTATCTTTTTGGCAACACTGGCTCAAACAGCTGTTTTGTTCCACTATCATCTAAATAACGGTTTTAGACCCTAGGTCTCTTTGGACCAAATCCGTTTCAGGATATTTGGAGTCGATCTAGCGATATCCGTCCGACCATCTGTCTGGCTGGTGCGCACGATAACTCTCGAAGGGAGTATCCGATTTGATCCAAACTTAGTATATCGTAATATTATTGTCAAACTTCGGCCCACTCCTTCTGGTACCTCCCAAACAAAATGTCAACATTTTCAAAGAAATTAATTAAGTGCACAGAAAGAGTAAGGATATTTCGATTTTACTCCAACTTTGCGAATCCTAATATTTACATCAGTGCTATTATCGGTCCACTCCATCAAAATTTTGAACAATTATAGCTCTTATAAAATGTGATGTAAGTGTCCGATTGTCTTCCGAACGAAATGAAGAAGGTTGATAAAATTTTACTCAAATGTAGATTACGTCTACAGGACTTTTGGTATTAAAAATTGGCCATATAGGTCCACGTTTTGGTGTAGCCCCCATATAATGGTACCTCCCTATTTTCGATATTTTGGTGATTGAAGCTACATAATTGACCGGATCTTTTTCAAATTTGGTATTTGAAGTTCGTAACGGATAGTACAGCCTATGACAGAAAATTGTCCGTGTAGGTCCACGTCTTCGTATAGCCCCCATATAGGGTATTTTGATGATTTTAGCGGCTTTATTCACCGGAATTGTTTCAAATTTAGTATTTGAAGTTCGTAATGGATACTACAGCCTATGTCTGTGCATGAAAATCATATCTTAGATAAACACGAAACCCACATCTCTATCTAATCATTCAAATTGTGATTTCCTATAATTTCAGTTTCTTTTTGCAACTGTGTGCTATGTTGTCATCTTGATACAGTTCCATATGTCGGTTTAAAGAGGCCCAAGAGTTCAAAAAAGAAATCAAGCTAATTTTGGTTTGTGTTTTTTTTATTTATTTGTTTTTTTTTTATTACTACACGTCCATACATAAATAATTAAAAGAATTACAAACTATATGGTAATGTAATAAAATTAATGTAGTTAAAGACTAATAATGAGGGTCTTATGAATTAAACATTGGCAGTCATAAATGTGGTTGTTTTAATGAAAATGTACAAAGTGATTTGTAAGAAGGAAGCCGTCGTCCGTCCATAATCTGCAAGGAAAAATGAAAAAGAAAGATTTAATAAAATTGCCAAAGTCGATAATTCAATGCTTAATTATATCATAGAAATCAGCTACAAATTTTATAATCAAATTATATTCATAGTCTAACATATTATGTAGAAACATCATTAAAAATATATATACAAAAGTGATTTAAATATGATTTAATATTTACCTTTTTTTATAAGTTTATAGCTGGACTGGGTATCTCACAAAATGAATAAATGCTAATTAATTAAATCTGCAAATATGAATTAAAATGGCAAATGTTAATTTATTTGTTTAAATTGAAATAGTTTAATTCTTTAGTTTTAAGCTCAGCAATTCAATTTTTAATCAATGTAAATTCTTTAGTCTAACATATTTTGAAAAACATCACAAACATATACAATATGTAAATGATACAAAAGTAAATGGAGAACATTCTTACCTTTATGTGTTATAAGTAAAATTACTGGATCCATTGTAAAATATGATCTGTAATAAGATAAAATAGTAACAATTAATAATTATGTTTTATTCATAGAGCGGCGGATCAATATTTGTGTGGTAATAAATTCAGTTAAATATACTCTTCATTAGTTTCAGTAGAACGAAAGTTAATGTAAAGTGTTGTTCATCATAAAAAAATTCATATTTTCTATTCAAAACGCATGCTTACCTTTTGGAGATTAATGCAATGAAATACGCTTTTTGTTATAAATCAATGACATATCTGCAAAAGAAAAAAGTAGTTGTAAATGTTGTGTTTGTTTTATATAATTTATATCTATTGTATTGTATATTGTGTAATTATTTGTAAAATGACAAATGGTGGAAACATAGTCCATTATCCCTAATGTAACACAAGTTTAAAACACAAAATATAAATATATTTTTTTTAAGTTTTTGTTTGCCAAACTTTAAGATACATCTACTAATGTTGATATTTATAGAATTTACCAGACAAAAATCACAAGATCTTGTAAAATTTTACCCAAATGTTATGTTTGCATGTTTGCAGGATTTTTGGTATTAAAAGTAGGCCATATAGGTCCACGTTCTGGTATAACCCCCATATAATGGTACCTCCCTATTTTCTGTATTTTGGTGATTTAAGCGACATTATTCACTGGAATTTTTTCAAACTTGGAATTTGAAGTTCGTAATGATTACTATAGGTCCATGCCTTCATATAGCCTCCATATAACGACAACTCCCGATATTCGGTATTTTGATGATTTTAACATTATTCACCGAAATTCTTTCAAATTTGGTATTTGAAGTTCGTAATGAATACTAAAGCCTATGACAGACAATTGCTTGTGCAGGTCCACGTCTTCGTATAGTCCCCATATAATGGTATCTCCCTATAATGGGTATTTTGATGATGTTAGCGACATTATTGATCGAAATTGTTCCAAATTTAGTATTTGAAGTTCGTAATGAATACTATAGGTCCATGCCTTCATATAGCCTCCATATAACGACAACTCCCGATATTCGGTATTTTGATGATTTTAACATTATTCACCGAAATTCTTTCAAATTTGGTATTTGAAGTTCGTAATGAATACTAAAGCCTATGACAGACAATTGCTTGTGCAGGTCCACGTCTTCGTATAGCCCCCATATAACGGCACCTCCCGATATTCGGTATTTTGATGATTTTAACGACATTATTCACCCGAATTGTTTCAAAGATGGCTCATGACAAAAATTGCCTATGCAGGTCCACGTTGCCGCATAGACCCTAATAATAACGGATACTTTCGGTAGTGTCAACTATCAAAATGAGTTTATGAGTCAGTCGTCGTTGAGCATTGACCGAGAGCGGACGCATCTAAGGAGCGTAGAGCATATTACATTTTAAACTTTGTATTTATTCCCAGAATTACTTTTATTTTTAAATAAAAACCATCTTGACAGAATCAGAAGTGGGATAAGAACAGAAATCTACAAGGAATTTCATCATTTTGGATAAGAATTGCAGAAAAATACTCAAAGAGCTGAGAAACTAAGGCGTCAAAGTGATGTAGTAGTGAAGAGCTCAATGCAAAGCAACAACGACGACCAAAGGAGAAACCACGCAAAGGCACCTAAACTCAAAAGTTCGAGTGAGTTTAGTGAGAGTGTGTAACGTGCTCAAAGAGAGCAAAGGAGAAAGCATCAATCAAAGGAGAATGTACAAAGGTATACTCAAAAGTGTGAGTGAGTAGGACAACGATAGTACATCAAGGAGATTGAAAGCAAGACATAAAGAGGGGAACCCCGAAGAAGAAGTTTAAAAAGGGAAAAGTTAACGTATATTTTTAGGGCGTGCGGCTTCTAAAAAAAAGGAATAGTTCTAGATTTGCTGAAGTAACGAATTAAAAAGGAAAATTCACAAGGAAAAGTATGAAGGTGAAAATAAGTTCGTTAAAGGTTGCGGAGCTAGACAAATTATTACTGGCAAGAAGCTTACCACGAACAGGAAATAAGTCCGAGAAAATTGCTAGACTCATGGCTTGCAATGGAAATGACGAAGTGGAAGTTGAAGATTCAGAGTCACAGGAGGATTTCCATGGATTTGATGAAGCTGAGACGGGTGATGATTCTCTAACAAGTCAAATGCGAGAGCTAAAGGATATAATGTTGACTCTAGCAAGAAGTGTGCAACAGTTAACAACACTTTCAACAGAAAGGGCTATTACGTCAAATGCAGGGTTAAATTCAAGGGATACAGAACAGCAAGTTCCAGCTGAAGTAATATCAAGACAATCTGGTTCCGGAACATCTGGTTGTTTAAAGGATTACATAGTAATGATACCAGACTTCGATCCAATTAAAGTAAATGTTACATCAGTCCAATTCATTGACAAGGTTGAAACGTTGCAAAGGCTTCATGGATGGTCAGATGAAACAACTTTGTTTGCAGTTCATCATAAAATGAGTGGTGTTGCTAAAATGTGGATAGATGCTTTACCAGTGGTTGAAACATGGAAAGAGTTCAGACAACAATTTTTAAAGGATTTCCCAAGTCGAGTAAGTGTTGCTGACATTCATCGTGAACTTATAGCTAGGAAACGAAACTCGAATGAGTCTTTGGTGGAATATTATTACGCAATGTTGGCCATAGGGAAAAGAGGAAGCGTAGATGAGGCATCAATACTGTCGTACATCATAAATGGTCTCAATGATAGCAGCTTAACAAGAACACTTTTAGCTATGAACCCGCAGACATGTAGTGAATTATTAAGGTCATTGGAGAATTTGACCATACAAACGTATGCAAGGAAGCAAACAAAGAATGACGAGGATGACAAAACCGTAAGTGTCTCAGGTGGAGCGCCAACCAAGGGAGTAAAATGTTTCAATTGTAACAGGTTTGGGCATATCTCAACTAGTTGCCCACAACCATTGAAGAAGCCGAAGTGTAGTAAATGTGCAAAGATTGGTCACGATGCATCGCAATGCAAAGGTAAAGGTACAACTGTGGCAGCAATGACAGAAGAGTCTAAGGATTACTGCCCACCGGTTATGAAAGATGTCACGGTCAATGGTAAGACATATGAAGGTTTTGTGGACACTGGAAGCGACTTTACCTTAATGCGGAAAGCTGTAGTTCCAGAGGGTTGCGATATGGAAGTAACGTCAAAAAGAATGAAAGGTTTTGGTGGATCTATTGTTGAAGTGGTGGAAAATGTTCTGGCACTCACAACGAACATTAACGACTGGATCTATCAACTGCAAATGTCGGATAAGAAGCTGAAACACATCTTTGAAGTTCTCAATGGTAATTTGCAAAACGAGGCAAATGAAATTAAGCAGATCAAAGCGGACTATGTAATAGAAAATGGGAGGCTATTTCGCAAAGTCAACAATATGAAACGTATGGTGATTCCAGAAAGAGTCCGGTGGCGAATAACTAAGGCTTGTCATGATGATTTGGGACACTTCGGTGAAGAGAAAACTCTCCAAAGGCTTCAACGTGATTTCTGGTTCCCGAGAATGAGACGTTATGTAAAATCATACATTCAGTCATGTCCGGAATGCTGCTACAACAAGGTAAAAGGAGGCAAGGCAGAGGGTGAACTACATATTGAGGAAGTCCTACCAATTCCATTCAGAAGTATCAACATCGACCACATGGGTCCCTTCCCAAAAAGTAAGAAAGGAAATCAATATGTATTCTTGATTGTCTGTTCGTTCAGTAAGTACACCATTATAAAGCCAACCAGGAATACAAAGACTGCTCCGGTTATAACAGCGCTGCGAGAAGTTATGTCGATTTTCGGACAGCCACGAAGAATTGTATCGGATAAGGGAACGGCGTTCACGTCTAAAGAATTCCAACAGTTTGTGGAATACAACGGAATACAACATGTACAAACAGCAGTCCGAACACCAAGAGCCAATGGCCAAGCCGAGCGGATCAACCAGACAGTTTTGAATGCGTTGAAATGTCTAGTAGGTGATACAAAAGAATGGGACACTGAGACAACGACGATACAGTGGAGTATTAACTCGCAGCTGAATGCGACTACAAAGTTCAGTCCAAATGACTTAATATTCAACTTTAGTCTCAGAGATGTCAGTTACAATAGAATTATCCAGGCGGTTGGTGATGAAGAAAGAGAGAATTTCGATGTTAGGGTAATTCAACAGCAGGCTGTTGCTAACATCCAGAAACAAAAGGAAAAATGGAAAGCAAGATTTGACAGCCGTCATTCCAAGCCAACTCAGTACAAGGAAGGCGATTTGGTGGTGATAGACACGGTACCGCAGCCTAC